TTGCTCTCCATCAAAATTTTGCTTTCCCCATCTGCCCTTCAGCTGAATGGGAGGTTAAAAGTCATGTCATTTTCAAAGGACTCTTAAGGAATTCTGCCCAAACCCTCTGCTTCCCTCTTGCACTGAGAACCACTGGTTTGTGGCAAGGAAGATAGATCCACCGAGTGATACATGTGAGTTCATGTGTATACCACAAGCAACACGCTTTGTATACCACAAGCAACATGCTGGACCTGCCTTGCTTTCCTTTGAACTCTGGTAGTGTTCTTCTAGGACCTTCTATCTCACAGCTTCACAGGCTTCCTCAGATATGCATGTGTCCTCAAGTGACATGTCACTCCCTTTTAAACAACATCTGAGGCATGCAGCAGCCTTTGCTCTTATTTGTTTGGAATATAAGCATTGAGAAATTCATTTAAACATGAATTTGCCACCTCCTTCACAGGAATGAAGAAGATGCTGTCCAAAGTCACTGATAGGAGCCAAGTCATGAATGCCAACTCTTTTTGCTCAGTTAAAAAACAAAAACAACCCCCACCCCAAGATGTCTATTCAGCTTTTGCTGTGATAGGGAATTTTCAAAAACTCTAATGAGGAGATGTGGCCGGCAGGCACTATTAGGGATGAAGGCCCTCATGCATGCACTTCCGAGCACACAGCCCACCTCTGTGTGTGTACGGAGCAGCTGTGCTCTCTGGTACAGGTTGCAAACTGTATTGTCCTCTTAATGTAGCTGTTCAGTGTCTATCAGAGGAATGACTGCCTTTAGGAATTTGATGACCTATGGCTAGTGATGGTAAGGGAGAGCTTTCTGGCTAGAAAAATGCTAAATGCTAAAACAAGTTACTCAGGTGAGGGAATCCCATTTTCTGTGATTGGAAATAATGGCATGATCTGTGTTAGTCAGAACTTAGAGGATCAAGTGATGTTGTGTCCAGAGGCAGGGGGACAGACCAGATGACCTGATTCCTTTCTGCTTGGAGGCCCAGTGGAAAGTGTTCCTAAGACAACTTAATACTTTGTTTTTTTTTTCTCTCTCTCTCTCAGTTCCTCCCCTTAATTTGCACTTCCAATTTTCAGTGTCTGTAATGTGTTCCTAAGACAACTTAATACTTTTTTGTTTTTTTCTCTCTCTCTCTCAGTTCCTCCCCTTAATTTGCACTTCCAATTTTCAGTGTCTGTAATGTGCTAACGGGCTTTCCTCCCACTAAAAAAACACGTGTAGATGTGAAAATGTTCTCCTCGAGAAAAGACGGTCTCTAGGGTTTTGCTTCTGGCTTGAGGTCTTATGAGGTAGGTGTTATGAAACCTCCTCCGCAGCAGGCTAGGGTGCCAGCAAACCTCGGCAGGGTCAGCAGCTCACCTGCTAAATTTGGCAGGAGAGGGAGACACTCAGCCACTTTGAGAGGAAAGGAGGTAAATGTTGCGATGCTCTTACAAATCGAGATAGACCGAGTTTTCAGACCCGAGCTTGTGTTCAGGGCTTATCTATCCTCTTCTTTTATGTAACCTGTTGGACAAATAATCTAAGTGCATCCTTCTCAGGCAGATAATTGCTTTTCCCATCCTGGATTGTACAGGGCGTATCAAGAAGGGAGACAAAGAAAGGTCAGACAGAGCGGGGCTGGGGCACATGTGTGGAGTGTCAGGTGGCCAACGTCAGTGTGGGAACCTTGGTTGAGGATTTTGAGAACAGGTCAGGAGGAGAAGGAAGGGAGGTGGGCAGGTGAGGCCCACTTGTACTTTACAATTTAAGCTGGGGTATTCTAGGAACCCCAGGATCCAGGAGCTTACAGAGCACAACACTTGAGTACAGAACACAGGGAGACTGAGAAGAGCAATGCTCTTTTGGTCTTCAAAACAAGGAAGGGATTAAACTAGGGCTTTTCTAAGAGGCCTGCATTTTTGTGATTCCATGACTTCCTCTGTAACATCACCAAAGAGAAGACAGAGCTTTTGAAAAAGAAGTATGGCTTCAGAATTAAGTGACACAGCTAAAGTCTACTTGTTAAAATTCATCTGCATGCATGCTTTCTCAAACCCTGATGACTTCAGGGCCTGAGCAAAAATTTCACATTCCTTTGGAAAATTGAGTTAGCACAGCCAAAGCAGCAGAAAATTATCTTTGACCAGTAGATTTTATTTCTGTATCTTTTTTTTTTTTTTTTTGGTCCAAGAAAATAATGGCCTTGGGACATAAGCATGATGGCCAACATTACCAGTGCTTCACTGTCCCAGGGTCTGTTATCAGGTGTTCTATGGGCACTAGTTCATTGAAGCCCTGGAAAAGCCCTACGAGGTTCTAACTCCTGCTTAAGGGATGGGAACACTAAAGATTGGAGAGCATAAGTGACGTCAAGGCTGGGCCTGGACTGTGGCTGCAGCCAGCCATCTTGGCTCTCCTGTGAACCTGCACTCTATCTCACCCTCAGCTCTCCCGGCGGGTCAGTGCGATTGACCAACTTGGGCTGCACCCAGGGCAGAATCAAGGTTATGGCCATGAGGAAGTAAGAGGGCATCAATGAGGGGCCATAGTTTCTGCTAAGTGTTTGATGGTTTGATGGGATCTGTCATGCCTGTGAGTGAGTCACTTACTTCCTATGCTCCTTTTGGAATTAGAAGCTAAGCAGGATCCCTGGTTTGTGACTATCCATCTCTAGGTAGCTAAAGCCAATAGCAGGTGCTGATTCTGTCAGATGCTATTTGAAGTCTTACATTCACTGATTCTTTTTTTTTTGAAACAGAACTTAGTTTAATTGAACTTTTCCCTAAAATCATTAGATGAGAATATGTTTGACTTGTAGAGAATCTTATTATTCTCTTTTAAAAATTTTTAAATTTGTTCTAATTAATTATTAGAATGCATTTTGACACATTGTACACAAGTGGAGCATAACTTCTCAATCCTCTGGCTGTACATGGTGCAGAGTCATCCCAGTAGTGTAATCACACATGTATACAGGGTAATCATGTCTGTCTCATTTTACCTTCCTTCCCTTCTCCACAGCCCCACCCCTCCCCTCACTCCCCTCTGCACAATCCCGCCAGACTATGGATCAGCATTGTCTTATTAGAGAAAACATTCGGCCTTTGGGTTTTGGGGATTGGTTTATTTCACTTAGTGTGATAGTCTCTGCTTTTATCCATTTATTGGCAAATGCCATATTTTGTTCTTTTTCAAAGCTGAGTAATATTCAATTATGTATATGTACCACATTTTCTTTATCCATTCATCTGTTGAAGGGCATGTAGGTTAGTTCCATAGTTTAGCCATTGTGCATTCAGCTGCTATAAACATTGATGTGGCTGTGTCACTGTAGTATGCTGATTTTAAGTCCTTTGGGAATAAACCGAGGAGTGGGATAGCTGGGCCAACTGGTACATTCACTAATTCTTTTAAGCCTAACAGCCACCTGTGAGATAGGTACTGTTATTGCCTTCATATTCCAGATGAAGAAGCTGAGGCTTGGAATGGTGCCAAAACATGGTGAGGAGGTGACAGGGCTGCAAAGGGGACCCCGGCTCTTGAACCAGTATTTTAAGCTGTTTTTCATCCCTGGGATTTGGCAGACCTGGAACATTTGCTTCTGGAACACAAATAGGACTCCTCAACCTCAAGGGTGGAAGGAGGCCAGGAGGAGCAGGACATTGAGCTGAGGTCTGTCCCGTAAAGAGCCCGTGTTTGACCTGAGGACGCAGGGCCAGTTGTGGTTCTCTTCTGCTGGGGCAGGTGGTGCCTCACACAAGAGCTTCCCGCTGGGCCCCTGAGGGATGCCCCATTTGTTCTGACGCCTTGAGGTTCCATCATTGACACTTTCTCCTGAGAGAAGGTGGCTTGGGTTCGACTTTTGCCACCCCTGTTAGGCCTCTCCGACTTCCCTTCCCCAACCCATAATGTTGACTTCTCTTTCTCTTGTGCCCTGAACAGACCTCTGACACAGCCCTAGGGACACTTCAGAGTCCATAAAAGAGTCACAGTAGCGCTGGCTCATATTCGTTGACTACTTGACGTGTGCTCACATCATGCCTTAAGCACCCTAGGCCGCTGTGCCAAGTGGTTCTTGTAACCACCCCGTGAAGCAGGTGCTAGTCTCATGGTCAATATGTAGAGGAAAGAAACAACGCTCACCATCATTAAGTGACAGCTCCAAGTTCACAGGGCCATCTTTTTTTTTTTAATTTTTTATTATTTTTTTAAATGAAACTGTAAGTTGCCAGAGGGCAGGGCCACCTTCACTAGAGACAGAACTCCATAGGTCGCACTGACGGCCCAAGCTCGTCACCCATTGCTGTCGGTGGCACTTGGCAGGGGTGGAAAGAGGAATTGAGGTGTCATGTCTGATAGAGGCGAGACACCAGCCCTGGCCCCTCAGGCAGGCAGAAGTCATGGTGCACATTCTTCTCTGCTTCTTTAGCACTAGGTATTACCAGGCACCCCGTAGAGTTGAGTATGGATGAATGGGTTCCTGCTGTTCTTGTAGCATATTCCACAGTAGAGCCTAGAGAGATCACCGAGGCTGTTGAAGGTGAAGAAAATCTTGGGATGTGGGGGTGTTGGGGTCATGTTGAAGTAGAGAGCAGAAGTGTGAGAGGAGGACACTCCTGAGAGGCAACTATTGGCAAAGGCCGGTATGCCTGGGACACTTCACCTGGCCAATGTTTTTTTTTTTTTTTCACAATACCTTTATTTTATTTTCATGTGGTGCTGAGGATTGAACCCAGTGCCTCATGCGTGCGAGATGAGTGCTCTACCTCTGAGCCCCAACATAGTCCTAATGTGTGTGATTTTCTTGGCTTCTGTAACACCCACACAGGGGGAGAGTTTTCTTCACTAAGCCAGTGCCAGGAAAACTATGACATGACTCTAGTTAGTTCCCCTCTGCCCACCCCTGCATTGCTCACGGACCCCCAGACCACTTGTTAACTGTTGTGATTGCTTCTGTTACGTGGTGAATGTGTCAGCTGGTCTTTGGGATCACCCAACGGGGCTTTCTTTCCAGGTGAACATGTTCGTTGAAGGATTCCATGATGCCATCCTCCTCTATGTCCTGGCTTTACATGAAGTACTCAGAGCTGGTTATAGCAAGAAGGATGGCGGGAAGATTATCCAGCAGACCTGGAACAGAACATTTGAAGGTAGGGATTTGATCTACGTGGAGACAGCATTGCAGTCCACTGAGCGGCTGCTTCTGTGGGTCTCTTTCTCTCTGTTGATCTGTGGGACCTTTCGATGTCTTGCTTTTCCTAGTTTAAAAGTATGGATAAAAATCAAGATCAACCCACCTTATAGGCTTGTGAAAAATTAAATGAAATTAGGTTATGTGGATGTGCTTTGAGAAGGTCCCACCAAAATAGGAAATATCTTCTTGTCTTCTGATTATTTAGGTAGCAACTTTATGCTTTTTCAATTCACATTGAACACAAGCTTCATTCGCAGCAGGACAATCGGTTTGTGAAGAAATCCCAGGTAGACATTCCTTGTTCAGACTGTGTTGGTTTTTGCGACGCTCTGAAGACACTGCTGTCGTGGTTAAACCTGGTGATTAAAGATGGTGTGCAGGTCCACCTGGGCCCTCTGCTTTTATTTACTTTAAAAATGGCTAATATTCTCCTTCTCTCTCCCCCACTCCACTCTTTCTTTGGGTACTGGGGCTTGAATCCCGGGCCACTTAACTACTGAGCTATATCCCCAGCCCTTTTTATCTCTTTATTTTGAGACAGGATCTCACTAAATTGCTTAGGAACTCGCTAAGTTGCTGAGGCTGGCCTCAGACTTGCAACTCTTCTGCCTCAGCTTCCTGAGTTGCTGTAGTGTTGCTTTATTAAAAATAGAGAAGTCTGAGAACAACAGCAGCGGTGGGGAGGCCTATAACCTAAACACTCAAGCAACCTCATTTGACATTTACAAATTATATACAAATGAGACTTTTGTTGGCTGACAAATTTAAACAGTACAAAGTGAAAAGTTAAAGTTTTCCTTTCCACTCTAATGCTCTTTCCCCAATGCCATCAATATCAACAGTTTCCTATGTGCTCCTGTCTAGAATTATTTTATGCCTTCTGCTTGCATGTATACTTTTAAACAAACGGATCATATGAGAACTTCATTTTTCATCTTACCATTTTCCTGCTTGTATGTCAAATAAAAGAATTTTTCTGTATGAGCACTCATAGATCCAACATACAATGAGAATTATATATTATTCCACCTTATGGCTGTACCAGAATTTCTTTACTCAACTTTTAAGTGTTTACAGTTTTTGCTGGTATACAATATGCTATCACAGGTTTCTTGCCCATTTTAGTAAATTTTTGTGAATATTTCCAACAGAGAACATGCCTAGTTGTGAGATTTCTGGGTCTAAAAATACTTTGGTGCTTTATAAATTGCATTAGATATTGCCAAATCGTCTTTCAGAAAGGTCTACTAATTTATATTCTGCCAACAATGTACAGAAGAGTACAGGTTTACTCTAACCTCAAAAAACCAAAAAAAAAAAATCTAATATGGGAATATTCATTCATTGATTCATTGGACAAACATCCTCTGAGTACCTGCTATGTACCAGGCAGTATTCAAGGTGCTGAGGATTTGCCAGTGAACTAAAAATGTTCCCTGTGATCAGTTGAGCTTACATCAAGAGGGAGGAACAGAGAGTTAAAAGGCATTCCATTTCAGGGGTTATGAAGTGAAGCAGGGTAGGGAGGCAGAAGGAGCTGGTTCAGTGGTCAGGGAAGGCCTGCCTGAGTTGGCAGTTGGTAGAGACCTGAGAAGGGGGAGAGGTTATGGAGCTGTTGAGGAAAACCCTGCAGGAGGAGCAGCAATTGCAGAGAGCCTCACTGTCCCCGGTTACAAAGTGCAGTGTCCCCTGAGGAGCGGGGAGTCTGTGTGACTGACTCCTCCTGTGTGGGCAGTGTAATAGGGGTCAAAACCAGGCAGCCTGTGGACCCAGATGCCTTGCTGAGGAACTGGGCTCCATTTGGGTGATTTGGAAAGCCACCCATGGGTTTAGAGTGATAGTCATCTGCATTATTTATTGAAATAAACTGTAGTATGCTGAGGGGCTTCTTCTGAGAACCATTAACTTAAGTGCAGATGAAAGGACCAGGGATCAGGGACCCTCACCCCAGCCACTGGCTAATAACCTCTGTCCTCTGGGCTTCTCTTTCTTGACCTGCTTGGTCAGGAGGTTGGACTAGCTGATGACTGGCAAGGACTCTTCTCCCAGTTCTACGTTGTGCTAACTCTTCCTTTGACCCTTTCATGGATTGGGGTATGCAGATGCATGTCTTTGTAATCACACTAGAGAAAAATCTCAACATCAGGAACAACCAAGTCCAGGTTTTGGGCGCTTTTTATTTTTTCCCCATGAAGGTCTCCTAACCACTCTACGGCCTCACCTTGTCCTTAGTCATTACAAAGGTTAGGACAGAAGGAAGGGGTCAGGCTTCATTTAGTGTTGTCTGGGGAACAGCCATGGTGGCCATTGGTGGATTTCATTTTTCCATGGTGGTTTCAATGGATGCCATGTCTTACTTGAAACCAGAGTGACATCTCCTTTACTCTGGGCTGATAGTCGGATGTGAGTGAGTAAGTCTCTAGAGTGATCTTGCTTTACCTCTCACTGCTTTAGCTGAGGAGCTGGGATCAAACAGGGTGATTCAAGGGGCACATTAGGACAAGGTCGAATTTCCCAGAAGCTGTGCACAATACGCAGAGAAGCCCATGTGTGGGGACACAACCTTGGTCGGCCACATCCCATTTGTAGCTGTTACTCACTCCGGGTGTGGTCATCTGTTCTTGGTCTTTTGACAGAGGGACAGAAGCCAGAGTTGGGGGATGCTGGAGGGCACCGCTGAGGGAGGTCATTAAGGGAAGGACAGGTGCCCATGGTGGTTGGAATATAGTTTTTTTAGAGCCAGGGCATGGGATGGATTTTCCTGTGGGCCATCTTGATTAGATATTTCCTTTCCAGAGTGGGGTCTACACATCAATATGAAATGAATCCTGAAACAATCAATTGTCTAGTTCAGTCTAAAATTAGCATCCCGTATGTCCAAATGTAAAGATAATTGAAGCCAAGATAAGTTTTGGGTTTGAATGGTTTGCAGAGCCTTTTTATTTGCTAAACAATGATCCATTTGAGGGTAGGCCCCCAAAGAACGCTAAGATATCTGTATGAAGAAAAACCTTAACCTTCCTAAAATTAAAAACAATTTTAATTTTAGTGGTCACCGTAAGTGATCATTAAGTTGTCAAGGTAAAAATACTCTGGATGTTATTTGACAAATTTGGATTTTATTGCCACGAACCCTGTGATCAACTCTCAAGACTTTCAATAAATGGCTTGGGAAGAAGCTGAGTTTCCTCTGTGTGAGAGGTCAGAGTGACAGCGTAAATAGGACTGTGGCTCAGACCTTGAGCTCCGTCCACTACAGGCAAATAGAGATGAGGGGAAGGTCTCATTACTCATGGACAGGAAAATTCTGCTGTCTGCCTGACAATCTCGCCTTATGTTCGATACTCTCAGGTGAAATCTCACTTTGCTAATAGGCCATCCTGAGGGTTCTCACCCCCTTTCTTGGCAGAATTGTCAAAACTTAAAGGTGTAATGAGGTCTTGGATTACTAGGGCCACCTTGCCTTATAAAATACTCTGAAAAACACTTAGCAGGACACACCCTCTCAAACACCTCTGCAGAGAAAGATAAATGGTTTTGGATAGCCAATATGACACGCACACACACACACACACACACACCATATTTATTGCTTAAATGTTTAAACATTTTATAACCTGTTAAGGATACACAAGTTAAAGATAGGTGTATTCTTTATAACCAGTCTATATTAAGAAGACAAAAAATCAGGATGAATGGTAGCTCCATTCTGTTTCCAGCAAAGTAGACCAAAGTCTGGAAAAATCAGTGGACCTTAAAACCACAGCCCAAAGGACAGTAAACCCAAATACTTGCCCTCTCCAGACCACACCAGAGGATGGAACTTTCCCTTGGGATGCTTTTCCCCAGACAACCATTTTACTGGAGCCATCGGCACTTCCCAAGAGACCCAAATCAATAGAAATGCCAATTAAGAATTACATGGAACTCCCCCAAAATAAGACAAATAGCTTTAGTTAATCAGAATGTGGCTGATGTAAGCATTCTCCAACTTAGTGAATGAAAATGAGAATACAGATGTATTTAATATCAGCTCATCATTGCTGGCTGAAGCAAGTGTGTGTTGTTTTCTCCACTCTACGTTTCAGCCTTACCTCTTACTGTACTCCTTCATGCATATGGGCCATCTCCCTGGAAACCTCACAGTTCTTCTGGTTCTTCTTGGCCTCTCTGCCTTGGTAAATACAAATAGGCCAACCTTTCTGCCTATATACTCACACTTCTCAATTGCTGCTTGTCTCAATTGCTACTTCCTCCCATGTACCTATAAAATCCCTGCTTTTTTACTGAATCCCCTCTCATTCTCCAACTCAATGAGCTAGTTCATTCTCTGAGAGATTGGGCATGGTCAGGTGTTTTCTGTCTGACCTCAAGCAAAGTAACAATAATAGTAATTATAAGATAAATACAGGATAAGCATCTTTAATTAAAATATCTGAAATTCAAAGTGCTCCAAAATCCAAAAGTTTTTGAGTGCTGAAATGACACTGCAGGTGGAAAGTTCCTCACTGTGAAAATTTGTTTCATGCACAAAGTTATTTAAAATATTATGTAAAATTAACCTTCTGGCTGTGTGCATCAGATGTCTATGAAACATAAATGAATTTTCTGTTTAGATGTGAGTTCCATCCCTAAGATATCTCACATCTTATATGCAAGTGTTCTAAAATATGCAAAACCCTGAAACCCAAAACATTTCTGGTCCCAAACATTTGGTAAAGAATCTCAATCTGTAGTATTAGCAATAGTGGTAGTTATAACACCAGAAGGAAACACCTAACTTCTCTTAAATATGTGTCGGAGTGCTTTACCTGTTTTATCCCATGTCATCATCTCTCCTGCCCCTCGGGAGGGAAGTGTTATGATGCATCTTTTACAGTTATGGTGACTGATACTCAGGGATAAGTGCCTGGCCCAAGGTCACAAAGGCAGGAAATGTTAATGCTGGAATTCAGTGCAAGCAGTTAGACTCTTGGGTGAGCCAGCTCAATCCCCAGTTCAGTCTGTCCCTCTCTTGAGCAGAGAATGTGTCTGATTAAAGTTGGCCTCAGCTGCCATACTAATTCAGCACCTAGTCCCCTTCCAGACACGTGGATAAATAATGAGCCCATGGGGATGAAGAAGAATAGTGCTTCAGCTGTTGGTTCTGATGACTCATGAAGGAGCCCTCTGCTTTCCTGTATAGGAAAGAAGCCTGTTTCAAGCCTGTTCATGGGGTCTTGGGCCTGGAATGATTTTTCTTTGGTAACATTTTTCCAGTGATAATGAAACCTATGAAAAGGCTGTGAATGTACCCCACCTCCACTGCCTACTCAGCCATTTTTTAAGAAAAATTGATAAAAAAAACTCAGGAATAAGCATGCTGCTTTCAGGATTAGTCTTAATCTTTTTTTTTTTTTAACCATACTCTCCAAGGAAGATCATTTATTTCTCTTTCTTTTCATTTTTAAATGGAGAAATGTTAAGAATTTAGGAATGCAGACACAGATGAAATTACAATGTCTTTCCAAATGCCAACAAAAATGCCGAAGTCTGATGAGATTCCCTGTGGCATGAATTTGTTTAAAGAAATCCTCTCAATTCATTTTCTGGTTCTTCTTGGCAGACAGAGGTATTTTAAGTAACCAACTTGGAGTTCTTCACTTCATGTCCTGTAGGTATTGCTGGGCAGGTCTCCATAGATGCCAATGGAGATCGGTACGGGGACTTCTCTGTGATCGCCATGACGGACGTCGAAGCAGGGACCCAGGAGGTGAGCAGAGGAGACCTCTGCATCCATAGCTCCTTCTGCACATGGGGACTCCAAGAGTGGATTTGTCCTGGTATCCAAAGAGCTGTCCCCAAAGCAGCCCTCAGATGCAAAGGAATTGAAAACATGGGAGTTTCCAAGTAGGGAGAGCTCACTATTGGTTGAGGGTGTTGGGAAGGACGTCAGGAAATGATTCCATGTTTATTCTCCCTGGGGAAATCCAAACTTTCAAGTGATCAAGAATCACATGGAGTCCTCTGCAACAGGGGCATTGGATGAAAGAGGTAAAATGAAACTGTATTTGTCCCTTAGATTTTGGGATTTATGTGTGTATGTGTGTGTGTGTGTGTGTGTGTGTGTGTGTGTGTGTGTGTGTATGAGAGTGGTTGGTTATAAATTCTACACATGTTAATATTTCAAAAGATGGTATAGTTTCAGGATAGCATCTGAAGTGAAAAGATGAGTCTGATGCTTGCTGGGGGAGTGAGCTCTCTATGTTAGTTTTCTCAGCTGTAACATAAAAATCATAGTAGCTTCCTTGCTGATCTCACAAGACGGTTGTGAGGACCAGATAAGATGAAACCTAGAAAAGTACCATACACACTTGGTAATAAATATGTGTATAAGAATTTTACAAACATGTGATGTTCCAGCAATTTAATGCCACTTCCCCTGTGTTTCTTTAGAAGTTCTTGCCCAGGGTCATTGCTCTTGTTGCCCTTTATGGTCTTGGCATGTGGAAACTGTTGTTTTCTCCCTGTACAGATGTGCCTGGTATTTGTGCAAGAGGCACAAGGCAGCCGGAATTTCCCTCACTGCTTACCTTTTTGGTGGTTTCGGTCTCACCTGTAGTACAGTGTGCTCCTCAAGGAAAGGTGGGAAGTAATATTCCATCATGGTCCATTGTGAGGCCACAGGTGTGGGAGAATAAGGAACTTGGTAACAGCTTGGTGCACATTAGTGATTGGTATTATTTTAGTAAGGATCTACAACTCTTTTTATTGTGATCCCACGTAGCCTGTGAGAGCCTGCTGGGCCCCAGTCAGGAGAGAGAGAGAGAGGAGCTTGGATCCCCAGCTGCCTAGAAGCCATGTGCCTGTGCCCAGACAAAAGAAAGACGAATTCTGAGAACCCGGTGGGAGGATACTCCCAGATCCTGGCTTGGGGAGCTGGTTGGTCATCTTAACCAGAATCCAAGGGGTGACCCTGAAACTGAACCAGGAAAAAGTATCAGTTTTCTAGGGGCTCTAGGACACAACTGAAAGAGTTCAGGTTGGTAATGAGGATAGAAAAGGGATGAATTTACTGGAGAGGAGAATGTGACCCCCAAAGGACTTGCCTATCAACCGAATGAGGCAAAACAGGATGTTCTTAAAAGATACTATTTAATGCTTTAATTATATGCTAAACTAAATGAGGGGTAGCCTGGGTATTCAGTGACCCATGGCTTTCCTGCACTCCTCCCTGAGATTACTGGGGCCTTACAAATGGCTGATTGCATGGCTGCTCTGTGGCAGGTAGGTGAAGCAATGTCCTGTCAGATGAGCAAGGAAAAGGCCATGAATTCCAAGATCACTGTTTTTGTGTGGAGGGGAGAACTCTTCTCTTTCCACTTGGTAGTGTAACTGCAGAATACCAGGGACAGCTCCTGCTGTCACTCCCGCAAGAGGTGAATTGATGTGAGGGGCTGTGTGGCTTCCTTGGTACTGGAGGCATTTAGTTCAGGCTGTGCATTTTTTGGGGTGGTAATGCAAGTCTGTGAGCTTAGTGTCTGTTTTGGAAACAGATACCTTTGACCTTTCCTTTTGTTAATTTTTTTTTTCCTTTTTGTAGGTTATTGGCGACTACTTTGGAAAAGAGGGTCGTTTTGAAATGCGTCCTAATGTTAAATATCCCTGGGGCCCTTTGAAACTGCGAATAGATGAAACCAGAACTGTGGAGCATAGCAACGGCCCTCCTTGCAAATCGTGTAAGTTTAGAGACTTAATCTGCTGTGTGTTTCCTCCTCTCCGTCTCAGGATTGTGCGAAGTCTCACGTGCAGGTGTTCTGTGGAAGCTCCTGTTCTGAAAGTTTCCATTTCTTTTTTTTTTTTTCCTTGATGTGATAAAGCACATGAGAACAGTTCACAAACTGGTGCTTATCTTTATTAGAGGCTTCTAGATCTTTCTTCTCTTCCATTCCTCTCTTCCAAAATAGTAGAAGCCTTCTCCCGGTTTTACATCTCTTATTGTAACCTTAGTTATTTGAGGTTTCCACTTTCAGGTGAAATCAAAATATCAATCAGTAAACTCTGTGCACTTATTCATCTATCATAAGAGTCATAACAAGTCTCATTCGGATTTTTCGTCTGTAGTTATCCTCCAACTCCTCAGAATCAAACAGATAGTGCCTTTTAAACACCTGAAAATTTAATAAATTGCCAAATAAGCATGAAACATGTTATTTATGAAAAGCCTCTATACTTAAACAGAGATGCAAATGGATATTTTTATGACTCATGTAGGAAGGAAAAGCATTAAATACCATCATTTTAGACCCTGGTGATACAGAATCAGGTGGGGATCCATATTTCAGGAAGGTTTATCATTTTAGGTGGATATACATATGCTCATTATTATTTGGGCCCATTGGTTTTTCAAATTATAAAGTATGTCTATCCAGGCAATAATAATGGAAAGGAATCTAGGAAGAACTAACTGTATGTGCTAAGTTTCTGAAGTTAGTAGACCTGGCTCTGATTGCTTACCCTCATCACTTGCTGTTTTTTTTTTTTTTGACCCTCGGAGTATTCCCTTAATACTTTCAAAGCCTCACTTTCCCCATATGTAAATGAAAGAAATGTGCCCAACTCTTAAGTCTTCTGTGTGGGGACTAAATGAGACAATACTCCAAAGGCCTTATGTTAAATTCTGTATGTATGAGCTAGTTATTTATCATTTTTATATAACTAGGACACTACCAAACAGGATTATTTCAAATTATGATTCACCTTTTCACAGAGTTATATAGGACATTTGACATGGAACTCTGGCTTTTGTGAGAGAATATCTAAAAACAGAACCCTGCCCCAGTGAATTTTTCACCAAATCTTCTAGCGCCTTTAAGTGTTACCATCCATCTGTGAAAAAAAAAAGAGGTGCTGGGTCAGCGCCGTGGTCCACCCAGTTGTCCTTGACTATCAACTTTAAAGAGTGTGGATATATCTGAAGTCTCTGGTTTCCAGTTTTCCTCAGATCCTTCTAGAATCTGTTTTGGTTGCCATTCTGCTCACTGTCTTGCAGCAGTATGCTTATCTAGTGCTTTCCCAAAAGCATTTCTTAAGCTTTACTCTAAGCAAGGAAACAAAGAAACCAGGATCTCCTAGGAACTTTTTTCTTACAAAGAAAGGAAATTTTGCTTTGAGAGGGAGATTGAGAGATACTTTCCCAATGAATGAAACTTTCATTTCTATCAGTTTCCCAAAATGATCCCTGATTGTCTGTTTCTTTTTCAAGCAGGTGGCCTAGAAGAATCAGCAGTGACGGGAATTGTTGTGGGGGCCCTACTTGGAGCTGGTTTGCTAATGGCCTTCTACTTTTTCAGGTAGGAACAGTTTTATAAAGTCAAGAGTCATTCCCTTTACTGCCTCTGCCAATTATCCTTGCACAATGCTCCTTGTGATTTGTCTATATCTTACTTTCCCCCAAGAAGCTTGGAGGTTTAAAGATCCAAGCTATTCTTTTAGTGTGACCTGGGCTTGATGGTCAGTGGGTTAACGGGTACTGGGGTCACAAATTTCTGTTGTAATGACCCCCAACCAGAGGGGGCCAGAGAGCTGCTGTGATCCTTTGACCACAGATATTCTGACAAGCATTCCTGGCACTCACCAAAAACTATGAATAGAGAGGGAATCTGGACAGAGGGTGCAAGGGACTTCCCCGTGTGTAGGTACCCTTCTGTTCAGAAATAGGTGCCTGTGTTTGCCTTCCTCATGAGGAGGAGGAGTCCGAGCATTCCTTGCTCTCGGGCTGCTTTGTGCGCTGTACTTGGAGAACTTGCATGTTGGGTTACCACAGTGGCTAAGCCCCAAGCCCTAAAATTGTATTCTGTTCATGTGTCCAAGGTGCTGATTGCTTCACTCTACAAGGCGGTCCATTCCTTTGTAATCTCTGACTGCTGGGTCTGTGACTTCTTTTTAAGTCATCAGACCCAAGATTTCTTTACTTCTACATGGAATTGTAACTCCCAGTGTGTGTGACCCTTTATGGAAACAATTGTACTCCTGTTCCTTTGGTCACAGTACCCTTCATCTGATGCTATCTGGAGCATATCCTGGGAGTCAAGCAGCGCCTCTGTGGCAGAATGGACAAGACCTCACCCACAAGGCATCCAGGGAAGAAGGGGAAGGCTTGTTCTATGGTCTTTCGGAGACCATGCCAATTTTTGTGCTTGAATAGAGACATAACGCCTTGGGGCACACTACTTTAATCTCTGACCAGGGTTTCATATTCTGTCACTTCTCATTTATCAAACCAAACCCAGATGTCCCTTGAGGGCATTCTCTGTAAGAGAAACCATAGTATTTTGTAGCCAGCAAGGTTTTATTACTACATTTACTTTCCCTTTACCCAGGAAGAAATACAGAATAACCATTGAGAGGCGAAACCAGCAAGAAGAAAGTAACATTGGAAAACATCGGGAGTTGCGGGAAGATTCCATCAGATCCCATTTTTCAGTGGCTTAAAAGAAGCCTTCCTCCCCGCCCACCTCCTCTGCTTGAGATTCTTAAGCTGGGATGAAAGACATCCATGGAACAGAAGGGGTGTTCTTGAAGAATTCATTCTTTTAAGCAGTTAGTCATTTTGTCTTAAAATTTCTTTAGAAGCTCAGGAACTATTATTAATCACCATCGGCCTCCTAGCCTTTCATCTCATGACAAAGAAATATAAGGATATAACGTCACACTCTGTTAAATGTTCATACTGCTTGGAGGGCATAGGATTAGATTTGTGTTTTTACAACCTGCTGTCTCCATAGCTGGATGGTTTCTGGGGACATTTCACACAAGGATATAAAAATGTGGTTTTCTTAAATGAAATGTTTTGTAGCTAGAATAAAATCATTTTTATAAGTAGAATATTCTTGGAAAGAATTTAACACCCAATGAGAGGAAACTGTAATGAAAAAAATTCGAGGTTGGAAATACAGTGTCCGTCTCTCTGGAGCTGGAGGACAGGTTGTGGTGGAGCAGGGCTCTGTCCAATGTCTACATTCAGGTCTGACTTCATATCTCGAGAAAGGATCCTCCTTGTCTCTCTCAGTGTCTCATAAAAGCTACTCTGGAAAGTTGTAAATATTAGTGAGGTAGGAGGGTTTTTACAAGAAAAGCAAGTCTGAAATGTTTCTTTCTTTTTTTTATGTAAAAAACCCTATTTCACACTAACATTTTAAGTATTTTAATCTTATATTTTGGTATTAGAAAAATGTGTCTATTTTTTCATTTTGAAGATTAAATTTCACTTATATTTTAAATGAATGGGTAAAGTGTACAACAAATCAATGATGATGAAAGATACTTCTCTTCTGTTTCTATCTTGGCCAGATTGCTGCTTTAATCACAGAGAGCTAGAACTGTATTCAGGTTATAGACACTTACAGGAGTCATAAATTTCAAAAACCATTTTGCATTTTTGACTGTTTTAAGTGCAAATCATTTCAGGGTTATATCCCTTCCAATTCTGGCTAGATTATGAGTTTCAAGATCAGGAAGGAAAAGCTATTTAGAATTAAGCAGAGTTTTATAAAGACAGGTAGCGGTTTTTCCTCAAGAACAACTAAATAGAGAGAGAATTTGACAGTAAGCACAGAAATGAGAAATTGAAAAAAACACATACATGATATTTGCCAAAATTCATAGTGGTGATTTTGGCTAAAAGAGGGCATCTAAATGTCCACCATGTCCGCTTGCAGTCAACTCCATAGAGCTTCATGGCCACCCCCTAAACACCTGTGTTAATGAGTGGGTTAGATGCAGACATTAGGAATTTTGGAGAAGGAAAATGAGTATTTATTGGGTATCTACTTTGCATCCATGATGGTGCACAGAGGTTTAAACTAAGGTTGCCAATTTCACTTATCATACGTGGAAAAAATAGACAGTGGGGGAAGACGGGTGGCTGTCTGGTAGTGTTCCATCTTATAGTTATGTCACCAGGGTTCTTCCTTAGCCACACTTTGGGGATCTGAAACATAGTTTTAAAACTCATCTTCATATCTGTAAAGGCCACAGACAGGAGTCTGAACAGCTCCTCGGTGGTGGTGGTGGTGGTGGTGGTGCGAAGGTGAGTGTGGAGGCAAGCTGAATGGGTGCAGCATGTCCTTGTCCTTAGCCCGAGCCTGCTTCCCCAGGGGACTGCTCTGTGACTCACAATTCATCATCCTAAGGGAAGGAGTATTTCTGCATGGGCCAGTTTTCCCTCTATTGTTTAGAAAATGGGATGCAGGTTGCTGGGAGGATGTGGAAGATGAATTAATAATAGTCACAGAAACAATGACAGTTGTAGGTCCCCATGCTGAATGCAAAGGAAAAAGTGCTGAATTCTAAAAACAATGGGGAAAAAAAAAGAAGTCAAGAAAGGCAAACTCCTGAAATCCGGATGTAGGAAGATTGAGAAGTAAAACACAGGAAAGCGATGTTTGATGGCTATGGGGTCCCCAGAGCCAAAACAGAGGTGAGGAGGGATCGCATCTACCTTAATTATGTGAATCAGAGAACTGATTTCTCTTGAACTCTTACTTTTTAATGGTGTTTTTTATATATTTTAGAGATACTCATTTTCTATTAATTTTTATTTGGTGAGAACATTTACCTTCCAAACCTAGGTGCTTATTACTCTACCTGGTTGTTGTCTTTGGTTATAAACACTTCTAATCTTTTAGTGTGCCCACACACACCAACATTTTTAGAGTAAACATCTTTTTTTAATACTTCAGATAGAAAAGTAGTTCTAAATTTAATATTGTATCCCTAGATAAGATCTTAAAGACAAGTGAGAATTTAATCTTTTAAAAATGGCAGGACAGATCACAAGGTTTTTGGTATGTGGAAATCATTCTGGTTGCTTATTTACATTTCTATTGTTTTTTCTTCCTTGAAATCTTTATATGAATTAATCCATTAAGTTCTGAAAGCTCCCCAGTGGGAAACCTTTGCTAAAAGTATAGATGTTTGGCCCAAGGTTGTCCTGCATTAAGATCTCTAGAGGTTGTATTTTGGGACTTAAATTCCTAATTGTTAAGCAACATCTTGACAACTAGTCATTCATACTCTGCCAGTAGCCACAAATTATATAATAAAATAAATAGGGCTTTGGTTCTTAAAATAAAGTTTTACCCTGAAATCCAAGGTGTTCAGATTTCAAAAGGGATATTTTATCAGTATTCTTCATCTGGTCACATATAAGCTCACATTGATACAGGTCAAAATGAGCGTATACTCTTTGATGTTAGAAATGAGTGTAGATTTTATGCCATTATTATTGTCTTAGATTTTGGAGGGTGGGAGAGGAACTCAGAAACAAAAACTTTCCCCACATGACAACTTGTATCTGGAAAGAACTTCCTGCATAGTCCATATTTTCCTGCAGCCTGATCACAGGTTTTATGAGGAAGCCCCTGGAAACTGCATTTGTCTGAAGAGCCATCAACTTGTTTTTCTCTGAACCACAGATATGGCTCCATAGGCTTTATAACAGTTCTCTAAATGTCAGAAGCCACATTTAATGGAGGGAGGGGAGAAATGTTTGGAAAGAACAAATGCCTCCTTTTCTCCTTCCTAAAGTTCAAAGACTTTTGCTTTGGAGCCAATCACGTCTCCCTGTTCACAGGCTTTGAGGACCATTAATTAGCTCAAGGCCCATGTTCTTTCTTTGCCCCTATCTTATCACTTTTCTTCTGGTTGGGACCGATTTGGGGCCTAAGATCTGCTGTGGGCAGTGAAAATCAAGGCCAAGGTAGACCTCACACAGACAGCGGTGGATTCAGAATCAGGTCCAGTGGCATCGTCGCCTTCCTGTAAGTGGGCACATGCTGGCTATTTGTGGAAGTCTCTTCAGGAGACTGAGTGGAATACTAGGCCACCAGTATTAAGGGAGTGTTCATAAATTGGAAGGAGCAAGTGTCTGTGTTTTTGGGACACAAAGAACTCTGATGCTGAATGGATGCAGTCCTCAAGGCAAACGCCAACCTAAATTAGGCTCCTTGATCTACGTGTCATGGGTTTTGTTTAGTTACACCCTGTGGTTCAGGGCCTCCTAAGGAAGCTGGTAATGAGCTCAATTTCTCCTTCAGTGGAAAAAACTGAAACTGTTTAAAAACACAGGATATGTTTAGGGGCAGCTTGGAAACAGAGGGAATGAGATGGTGATATTCAGAGGGATGAGTTTCTTTTTCAGTTTGTCTTAGAATTGAAGAATAACCAATAATTTAGTCCCTCTCCAATGGCCACACTCAGTAGGCACTTCATCCACCAACAGAAATGGAAGAGTGTAGCTTTGCAGGCTGTCACTCTCTTTACACCCCAACCCCACCCTCCATCTGTTTTGGCTGAAAAGATATGTCAGCAAGTGGGAACTTGTGAACAGGCCTCCGTACATCCTTAGAGGGAAAATGGCAAAATAATGCTGGTTATAAGAAGGTAGCTGGCTTTTCATCAGAACCCCATACTAACTAGACCACACATGCCCGTCATAGTTCAAGCCTGTGATGTGCATCAACTCCAACAAGCCTGACTTTGGTTTTCAGCATGCAGATTTCACAAATATCTCTTGCAGGCATTACCCCACAGATCAACTGTAGAATTAAAATAACTTTCCAAAGGTGCTGGGTTGGAGTTTGTTCAAATTTCTCATTAACCACTAATGTCAATTCATACCAAAGGCAAAGCATGCTACACCAGATGATGCTGTTATGTTCATGTTATAAGATACTTCAAACACCGTGGAAGGGTTTCAGTGGGAACTGAGTCTCAGAAGCAAAAAAAATCCATATATTATAATAGCTCTTTGATGTGTCAGGTGTAGGATGATTCCTAGTGGAGAGATTTGAACAAATAGAATAAAATGTTTCATTGCTTTGATTCATGTTTGAAGACTTAAATTTCTATGAACAAGGAAGAAAGAGTCCACTTACTACACAGTGTGTAAATTACAACACAAGCTACCAGATTATTTTTCATTTGCTATTAGAACAAAGCTGTTAAAATACATAATTAATATTGGACAGAGAAGGCTAGGAAAGGGGCGAGTTTGGATTTTGAAATGGGGTGCCTTATTTATTAGTCAATGCCAAGATCTGAAAATGTTCAGTGTAATGTAAGACAGCAAGAAGTGCCCCCTCAACAGCATGGAGATGCTGTGAGTTTGCAGACTGATATATCCGGGAAGGGGAGCTTTGTTCCCTGTGCATTAACGAAACCAAGAAGATATAGGATAGATATAGTTGAGTATCAATTCTGTGGTCCTCGTCTCCTGGACCATATCATATATTGTTAACATAAATATAGCACTACCAACCAATACAGTCTACTACAAATCTGGTAGAGAAGTAAAAGTGAAAGCTGCACAAGCCACACACAGTTTATTATTCTAATGTAAGTAGAACTATCTGCATATAATGTGATTTAATTTATTGTTGTTTTGTGTAGAAAATGAGAATTAATGACTGTGGATATAACCCGTTTTGTATAATATATTTTATTTCTGGTGCAAACTGGTCATTTAAAATACCTACTTCATTTTGTGTTTGGATATAAATGTGTATGTGTTCTTGTAAATGTTTATATTAAGCAAGAATGCCACGTACTCAGAGTATAACAATGTGTTCTCATTAAAAAAATACAACCACAGAAGCCTTTCCCTGTGTATAATTCAACCAACATATACTGCACACATCCATATGTGGATAATCTGTTTTCTACCCTTTGAGGGCTTTCTATTTTAGGATTAGTTTAAGTGGAAGATCAGTCAGTGGGCCTGATGGTTGTTTGAATGATACTCATGAAAGGACTCAAGAATTTCTGCTCAGCAAAGGGAAATTTAAAGAAATAAGAATATTTTATTTAAATAAGGGACAGACCTTGAATTAGCAGGTAAAGGAAGAAAGCTTCATGAATAATAACCACTCTCTTGAGTCTGTGCAGCTGGAGAACACTCATGGTTCCAGTTGACCTCATTGACTCATGCTATTATGTCCATCTTCCACTTTAAAGAGATTACAGTCTATTTTGTCATTCTCAAGAGCTCCCCAGGTTCTGGAGCATTAAGCAGAGTAACTGACCTCTAGCACCTTTAGCTGCCTCTGGGTGGCTTCACATTCTGAGAAGTTACTTAGGACTTCCTTTAAATACGTAGCAAGTCCTATGGTTGGAGCAATCATCCCCTGGTCCCGCTGCTGTCACCACTGAGGTCCCCATCATCAACACCACAGCTTCCACTTATACTGTGTCCACATTTGATATTCTGCAGCTTCCATGACACTCCTAATCACAAAAAAAGCTCTACTTTATTTGGGGACATTAGTCATCTCAGGGGTTATGATGGGTGTGTGTGTGTGTGTGGGGTCTACAGATGTATTTTGTTGGGCAACATTTAGAAAAATATGGGATTTGAATGTCTTAGCATGGGGAAAGTGCTCACCAATTTTCCCAAGTTCCTACTCTCCCAATGTTCTTAGATCCAGACTTCTTCACTAATTTCTATGACAACCTTGGGGCTTGCAAACTCGTAAGTATGGCTAACTGAGCAAACGTGGGGCCATGTGCCATCTCTCTTCTTGCCACATGTTCTTTTAGCATCACAGATTTCAATCTGCCTATGTCCAAAGAATTCCCTGGCAGTGTAGATTCATTTCTCTCCCTTTGGCTTCTTGGTTAAATACTGACCCCAAAGCAAAATATTTCCTCCGCAAAGAACTCAAACTCCTGAGGGTTCTGCAATGTTAATACTTCAGAATGTTTCTGTTTTCTGAAACCAGATTTTCTTAAAACTGGGATATTCTTCAATGGTTTCCCGTAACAAAAGCCATAGAGCTTCAGTCCTGCTCTTCCATGGACCAGCTCTGTGACTTCCACACACCACAGGACCATTTGGAGCCTCCGTTTTCTCCTTTGTACACTTATAAGGATACTAATTCCTTTGTGGGATTTTGGGGGCAGTGCCTAATATGTATCAAAACAGGAAGCCATGAAGATCTTCATGAGGGAAACCCTACCAGTGCCCCTGGACTTCCTGGGCTCTTTGGATCAAGATTGGCTCATCGCTAAGGCTCTGAGGGCTTATTTTTCATGACCACAGAGCAGATTCACATTCTTTCCAATCCTTACCCTTATTCCATAGCCGAGGACATGAGGCATACACAAGGTTGTGGGGGTGGGCCCCTAGCAAGGGGCTCAAGTGGATGGCACGGATCTTCTGCTGTGTGCTGGCCTAAGCCCTGTGTCTCACACAATCATCATCACCGCCCTGTGAAACCGCCACTGTGGTCATCTCTGAGACATGGAGTGGTTAGATAACTCACCCTGGTCATCTACCCAGGAAGTGATAGAGCCAGGGTGTGAGAATAGGGACTCTAGCCCAAGAGCCCAGGGCCCTGTCTGAAGTACACACCTTACCCCTTGTTTTGTATCCCAGTGACTTAGAAATTTCTATTGGTAAATCCGTGATTGCTGGTTCTTTTAAGGCCCACACAAAACCTGTGTGCTAGGCCAGGTTTCTAATAGATCATCTCTATTCTTCTTTGAGAAATCTCTCATACTCTGACTATAGTCAAATGATTAACAATTCACCCTCAGACCTAAACCATTGGTAAAACAAGCATCTCTTTCCTTGGAAGATTTTCATCGCTTCCCCCCCCAACCCCCGCCCACCACCCCATTTTTTGGTCTTGTAGCTAAACATTCTATTCTATTTATTTATTTTTTATTTTTTTTCTAATTATAACTGACAATAGAATGCATTTTGACACATCATACGTAAACGGAGTATAATATCTCATTTTCCTGATTGTCCATGATATGGAATTTTTCATAGTTTTTTTCAAAATGTTGAGAAATGTTTTAACCAAATGTTTCTCAAAATGTTTTAACTGAAATTATAAGCAGCTTTTATGGCAAACCATCTTGATTTCTTATCTTATTTTAATAATGGCAATAATGATAGTGATAGTAATGTGCCGACACTTCAGAGGTAGATCATTCTAAACTATGGAATGGAACCTTTCTTTCCTTCTTTCTTTCTTCTCTCTCTCTCTCTCTCTCTCTCTCTCTCTCTCTCTCTCTCTCTCTCTCTCTTTTCTCTGTAAGCCTTTTCTAAACTTAGCTGCTATGGCTTAAGAGAAAAATAGAAAAGCTCAAATCCTGCACATCACTGTGAATTCTTTTTGCATTTTATTCTCATTTCTATACAGCCATGATCTTGTATCTTCTCATTCAAGTAAGCCTTGGCTCAAAGCTATTTTTAGATCTTATTTAAAAATTAATTGACATTCTCTGGTTCCTCTCCATCATATAAAAGAAATGAAATCCTCTGGTAGTGTGCTGGAGCTGACCCGCACCAGCTTAGGAGAACAAATGCTAAAGTCTTCAGGAATTTTGTGAGCTGGTTCATCAACAAGCTTTTCTTAAAAAAACAAAATTACAAAAACCTCCATTAAATTTGTGAAAAATCAAGGTAATAAAAATTCAAAATATTATTTGCTGCTTATTTGACTATGTTTTCCTATGACTATGCTGTGGAGTTTTTGTTTGTTTTTTTTACTTTTACTGTGGAAATACCTTCCTTATCTCAGTGGGTGCTGTGTATTTCTTCCCAACTCCGTGTCCAGTGATGTCACACTGGTGTCTTGGAATTGGTGCAAGTATTTATGTCATGGGAATCAACAAATGCTGTACAACAGGGCACATTCCCTGCAGACCTGGTGGTTAGGGATTGAGCAGAAAACTGCTGTCCACCATTCTCTTCTTGTTAGGTGGACACAACTCAACCCATCAATGACACTTGTATTTCACAGATAAGGAGATTGATGTTCTGGGATGTTAGGTGATCTGTTCAAAGTCTTACATATTCAAACAATAAAACCAGGACTGGACCCCAGGGCTTCAAAACCCTACCTAGTTGTCCTTTCGTTAGAGAATGAGGGATACCCTAAAAGAAGCCTTGGGTTTCAGGAGAAGCTTCCCAGCTTCATGATGCCTCTGTTGTGAGGGTCTGCCAGAAGATCAAAGATTTTGATTCCTGTAACAGACATCCTTAAAATATCAAAGGACTTTTGTGGCCTCAATTGAAAATCCTACACTGTTATCTCACCAGAAACCCTCAGTATTTTAGTGAGATTAGTGTGTGCACTGCTACTTGGTGATGCTAAAGGATGAGAAATATTAGGAGTCTGACAGTTGGAAGCTTTTCTGTGAATCTGCCAGGCCTCTGACTTCCTGAGTTTACAGTGCCCTCCCCACACCATATAGCACACAGGGCAAAGTTGGAAACATGATAAAAAGTCTAGAAAATCAAAATTCAGTGCAAAGTGATTGAGTCACTTTGCATAGGTCTTCCAAGTAAGCTGAGTCCAAACCTTTCTGACATTTGAAATACGATATTTGTAATATAGAACTAATCTAAGTGCATTCATCTCAGAGAAATTTTTACAGGCTTCCTTGAGTAATGACTACAATTTCCTTAGAAAATTTAGATTCAGCCTGAGCCTTCATTTTGGAAACCATTTGTCTTAACTATACAATCCTCAGAGGCTAGCCATAGTCTTTAAAAAAATACTCTTATAGAATATTGAGTGTTTCTTAATAAGTGTTTCTTAATTTTATTCACATAAAATTTATAAAATGAATTGATAATATGACTTGGCTCCTATTTCTAGGATATCCTTGGCCTGGTCCAGCTACCATCCTCACACTGATATTTTTCTCTCACCTCCCTGGCCAGACGGGCTCAGTGTCTCCATAAGCATCACATATGTGCTTCCAGAATGATATTTCTACTGAAAATATTGTTTTACACCCAACATCTCACAACTCAAACTTCATTTTCTACCTTAGAAACTCAGGTACATTGAAAATGTTTCCCTCAACAACCACAACAGTGTAAAAACTTGAGGGTCTAGCGGCAATGTTATGCTAAATAAAGAAGGGCAGAGAACATTCTCCATGCCATGCCGTAGACTTGGGTTTTCAAGTTGCAACGCTTTCTTGATTTTCTAAACTATGAGTGATGCTTTCTTCTATACAGATGAAGGACTGTGAAAGGAAAGAAAGGGGAACGATTCCATCTAGGGCTTCATCAGAATCCAGGGCTTCATCGACCTCTGGAGAGTTTGTGGCCATTTGGTGGCTGGTAAGATTTTCCTCATCACTCTCCTTACATCCAAATGGATAGTGGGCAGTGTAGAGACGTTATGTTGTTTAGCTCAGAACATGCAATGAAGAAAAGAGAAGATCTTTCCAGACAGATTTCCTACTTCTGTGCTCAGAGTGCTGTAGAAGATACAGAGTCCGGGCATGTCCTTGCTCACTGGAAGCCACCCTCTCCCACTTCACCACATTCACTGAAGAGGGTTCCTGAAGTGAGCTGGACTTCTCACCCCTTGCTTGGAAAGCCCACGGTAACTCAGCTGTACTGGTCGGTCCCCACAGGCTTCATTCTTTAAGTCCCTTTTGAACATGCATGGGAGACATTCCTGCAGCCTACTTAGGAAACTATTTCTTGAGGAGCGATCATCACATTTCTGAAAAATTATGATGGCAGCTGATCCAAAATCTTGGCCTTGAACTCCAGCCAATGTTTTCTTGACTCCAATGTGTCCTGCCAAAACAAAGTAATTGCACAGCTGACAGAACCTCTC